ATTTCGAGCTTGATTAAGTTCACATCAAATGGTCTGTAGTGCTTACCAAGCTGCACACTCGCCTTGCTGCCTGCATGAACGATTCTAAATAGTACATTTATGTAGGCGGGGTATTAAAAGCCACACAGACTAGGAAGGCTGCACAGCCACACACATACAGCGGAGCAGGAGCGATGCCGACACATGGCAAATAGCTCGGTAGCCCAGTCGCTGAGCCACGTCGATTATTACGTAGGCGTCCGAAATTTCATGCCCCAATGAATTTCTGTCCTATTCGTGATAATGATGACGGCGAAAAATGGCTAAAATGGCCTGCAAACGGCCGAGTGCGTTTGCCCGTTCGTTGCCGGCATGAAGCGGCAATGAAGAATGCCTCAGTAGTTATACTATATGTGGTTGCCGTGCGGTTGTTTGTGATATAGTCTGTATATGTGTGTGAGTGTGAGTGGCAATTTTGCGCCTAAATGTAGACTAAAAGTTGAGCACAAACACTCAGCTCGCTAATTACGCACAGAAGTGCTAAAAAAAAGCAGTAACAGAAGCGTCTAACAGGTGACTGACTGATGAATAACATGTGATTAAAGGGCAACGCCTACGCATATTCAGTGAACAAAATAATTAGTCAACAGCAATGGAGAGAGGACCAGGCAACTCATTCAAGCTGGTTAATATAAAGCATTTTGATGAGAGTCTACCATGTGCGTTTCGTGTGATTTAGTCGCTGTAATTAGCTGTCTTTTTTGTCGTTCTGGCAACACGGAAGTCATTATAAACTTCAGATATTCTTGTTGGTATGGTGAAAGAATTTACGGAAAAAAAACACATTAGTCTACCTAATGATGTCCATGTGAATGCTTACAAAAGAAATGAATTGTTCAAAATGATTAAATGTGAAACATTATTTCTCATTCAAAAATGAAGCAGATCTTTGCTTGCGTTACTAATTTAGGGAAATACATAACTTACAGATAATAGTGTGATATGATTTTCAACGGAGCGCAAATAATATAGTATGACCCTCTTCGAACTCTCGTTCGAGCAGCTCTTAGGCATAAACTTGGAGATCCACATCCACTGCTTATCAAGTAACCGCCTCAACAGGTTCCAAAATCAGAAGCTGATTAATTTAGAGCTAAGACTCGCTTGAAAATGTATCAGCTCTAATACTTTTCCGAGTTGAACTGAACACCAAATGATTTATACTTTGTCCTTCAATCTGTGGAATTAAATCTTAATCTCTTAGTTGCTTTTACGAATTGTGCTCTTCAGCATGGGCATAATTTTTGAAGTAATCCCTAAAAGTATGCTGTAATTAATTTCAAATTTGTTTTATTTCGACTAAACGGAAATGTGCTGAAGAGACGTTCTGAAATCAGTTAAAAGACATCCGTTCCGGAACAGGTACTGAAGTTGGAACTGTTGGTATATGTATGAAAAAATATATTTCGAAAAAAATAAAAACTCACTAAGGAGGCATATTCGATTTATATTCAAATTAGCTGCGCAAAAAAAAATACACATTTGAAAATCCAATAGTTCAGCTTTCAGGACAGGCAACGTTGTGCTGCTAGCAATCAGAGCCACTAGATGCTCTGCGTTTATTATGCACAATTTGCATGGCTAGTTGCAGGAAAAATGCAAACAAACTGACAAGCCTTCTATGCGCTGCCCAGCTGCCTGTCAGTGGGGTAGCTGTCAGTTGTCTGTAGTTTGTTGTTCGTGGCTGTGATCCTGCTGCTGCTGCTGATGCTGCCTTTCCTCTAACTGCTGCTGATGCTTCAGTCTGTTGTCTAATGATTAACCCCATGATTGAATATAATGCCTTTGAAAAGCAACGCAGACAGCCGCGCAAGTGCCAACACCAAGCTGAGCAACTACGAAGGAGAAAAATGCAGTCGTTGCATTCCAAAAGCAAAGCAAACAGCAAAAAATAAAGGCATCGTCGGTCATGATGATGATGTTGGCAAGGCAAAGGCACAAAACAGTAGCAACAACATTAATTTTTTTTCTTACTAAAACAGTAGCACAAGCAAAGCGGTTTTTTCTTTTTATTCTATTTATTTATTTTTGTTCATCTTTTTGTAGTTCATGCGCTCAAATAGTTTAAAAACAACAAGAACAAACATGAACAAAATAACCAGAAACTTGTAGCTGGGCTATCAAGAATTGCGGTTACTCTAGGCCAAGTCACATAATTCTGACTAATTCTAACTAACCAAAATATTTTTTAAAGTGAAAGGGCAGCTATCGTTAAGGAATTTAAGCCCGAAGGCTTTAATATTACATAATATAATTCAAATATGCACTAAACGAGCACGCTTTATATACTTTATTAAATACTAAGACAAGTAAAATTATTTCTTCGAATGTAAGATAAAAATAAATAGTTAATTTCTATGATTAGCTATAATTTGTGTCGCACATAAATATTAATAAATTATTTCAAATACAAATTAATATTCTCAGTTTGGGAGTAGATGGTATTAATAGCTTTGCAAAATATTTGTATCATGTTAAGGACCTAATTCGGTTGAACCCGAAAAAGAGGAATACGATACCGATAGAGTGAACTATTTTTAGAAGTGGGTTTTACTCGTCGTTGATTAAGTTTTGTAGAATTTTAAATCAACAAGATTACAGTTTAAACAGATTCTGGAAATAAGTACTCAACATCCGATGATACTGGTTGCAGATAACATTGAATATTCATTTTAATATGGCGGAAGAGGATCTGGAATCTACAGAAATGGAATTTGTGTAAATATGGCTAGTGGCTGCAAAGAAGATATTCCTTCCTTCCTCTGGATGCATAGTTTGAGCAAAAGTTAAGCGCCAAAACAGCGACCAGTGCCGGCATAGTTCTCATGCCACTATGGTCGCGATGTAGACGTGCTGTTATGTGTTGTTTCTTTCTGCTCGTCTGCCTTTATGCTTGCCAAAGGCCATGCCTTCACGGCAACAACCCGCTAACGTTAAAGCCGATGCCAAAGGTAGATATTTTCATTTAGTTTCCTGTTTACCGCAGTCGAGTCGAGTGGAAGTATCAAAGTTAGTGAAGTGGCGATGCCGTTCTCGAGGCCACCGCCCCCTTTGTTGCTCCCATACTGTGATGCCACTCAAATGCTTAACTATGCAAAATAAGTTGCATTTAAGATGCTCCATTATGCATGTTTTTTTCATGCCGATGATACAGTTTAGTGTGTGGTCGTTGAAACCACCATTGCCATCACCACAGACTCCGCTAAACAACATTAGTGGCAGGTGGGCCAACTGCCAACCTCGAGTGTCGGGTTAAATGAAGTCTGAAGACGGCTAAATATACCTGAACTTTATGCTGCATATATTTCATGTGGAAATACGCGAGACCTGGATCAGAGGGTGTGGCAATAAAGCAAATGCCATAAAACGGAAGCAGAAATAGGCACACTAAAAATATTTTGAGCTATTTGTTTTTATGTTCTAATATTCTGAGACTTTAAATTTATCTTTAACCGCGCCACGAATTCAGTGGAAATCGAAGTGTAAGGCGAATGGAGAAGGCATGATCAAGTCTTAATTTATTATTACCCTTTTAGTTACATAAATAAATTTAGGCCATACATTTTTCATATTTTCTTGACTTATCTTAAGTTTGCCTTTAGCTTTTATCTGCCAAATTACATTTCAATATATTTTCTACGTATTTTTGCTCAGATTGCTTTTTATATTTAACTTCATTTCTAAGTAAATATTAAGAAGACTCATTGGATTAATGGTGACAGTTTATTGATTAATTTTTTTACAATTAATACTATCATAAATATGTATTTCAAAGATAAAGGTTTTGTGGCTTATGCGGTATGTGGTAAAGTATAGACATTTCTTTTGGATACCCGCGATAAGGACTTGAATAAACTGCCTTAATTACCCCTGTGGTAGCTGATATAAGCCTCAGAGTACTTTATACATATTACACAAAGCTTATAAATTCTAAATTTTGTTTAGACTATGTTGTCTACTACTACTACCTAAGAGTTTGTCTACTAAATGAGACTTTTCACATACGTGTATATATAAGATAATCATTGTACATTCAAATGTTATTACTTATAAACTGTGCCAAAACTAATAATATGCATACCTTAAAACACATATGGTAGAATAATAGAAATATTATATTCTCCTTATCTTGAGATAAACGAAGATCCCACAACGCTGGCCAATTACTACGAGTTCTGAGCACTCACTTGATACATTTTACTGCAAAGATAATTGGTAAGATACGAATTTTCAAGTACATTCAACTGTTCGTATATATTAAAGGATCATATACTCACAGTTTATTACTTTATCTTTATCGACATCTGCACAATACATTTGATCGATTGCTTAACTCTTTCGCCATGACTTTTATTAACACAGCACAGAATTGTGGATATTGAAAAGAGCTTGGATTGTAAATGTTTTTACGGCAAAATGCACAAGAGCTAAGCTAGAATAAAAAGTGATTGCAAGCACAACAAGACAAGCTATGAGCATAAATTGTCAGCGAAATGTTAATCCTGTAACGACTTCCACAGCTATCTGTACAACGATGTCGTCTGCCAGATCACAATAGTCTAAGTCAAAGCTGCATTGTTTTTATATGTGTCATAAAGTTTTATACCGTAACGTCGGATTCATGGATAAGATATGCGAGATAAGAGAGCAAGTGTCCCAGCAGTCGACCGATAGAGTGCATAGATGATTCATTGAACTCATTGTTGTTGCTGTCGCGTGCGCTTTATAATTGTCTGTTAGGTAATACGACGAATTATGGTAACCCGCGCGGCAACGGTACTTACCCCCAGCAATCGTTGATTATAGCCAAGTCTACTGACTTCTATGGCTTGGTTGGTCGCAACACTCGCACCTCTGCGTGCTTTATCCGACTGACAGTCGCCACTCACGATAAAGAGCTGGGTGTCTTCAGACATCAGCCTACCCATCCAGGCAAAACGAACTTAAAACCAACTGCCTCGATGACTTCAACGTCCAGTGTACCACGCAAAATGCTCGCGAAGCTACGTATCTCCCGCATCTGCTTGTTCGTGCTGCTACCCATGTGTGGAATACTGTTGCCGAACTCGGCCAGTGTACTGGGGCAGAATCTAACCACAATTGACCAGATAGTAGCCCAGTCAACCACAACAATATCAGCAACGAACGATGGGGCGCTTTGTGCGCGGATTTGCCAAGCTGGGCGGTCACGCATCTGTCACTACACATTTGTTCTGGAACATTATCAAGCAATGGGCGTGTAAGTAAAAGTGCATTTTAGACAGATATAGGTCAAAACCCTTAAAACCCTGATGCATCGATTGTGCGGGTACGTTCTCTCCACAATATTTAAATTTTTATTTAACGAATGCTTCTAAGACCCAAACGCATCGATTGTGCATGTTATTGTTTACGTTAGTTTCTCACATTGTGCCGCGAAAATAATGCATTTAAAATGAAAACACAAATCCATCTGCCCGGCTGTTTAATCTACGATCGTCGACAGCTTTTATGATCCACATAATCATTTACAAATTGCTCAATTTGTTAACCCTTAATAAGAATGAAGATGAAAATCAGCAATTTTCTCTTCAGTTAAAATTGTCATTAAACAGTAATTTGATGGGATTTTTTTTTTAACCGAAACACATTTGACGGTCCATTTGAGTTTGTAAAATTATATTTTATCGAGAAAAACTGTTTGGAGGACCATTTGAAATGCTTTTCAGATCATTAACTTTTAGCAAAAACTTGGTCTGTATGCAGAGTTGTTCGTAAACGAACAGATTTATGGCGTAATAATTTCCATTCATTCTACAAAAGACAATGAAAATATTACTCCAATCAAAGTTACAATTAATGTGGATTAAAAACGAATACTTTTTAGTTATTTTGTTGTAACCCACATGAAAGTTTGTCTTTTGTGCGTGATTATGCGTCTCACGTCTTAGAGAATTTCGATTAGGAGATCATTCTATTTGCTTTTAATATTTCCATCTAAACCAATATATACTTATCTTCTTACTATTCGTTGACAATACTCCGTTACTATGTATTTTATTTTATTTATTATACCCTGTACCCGTAGGGTAAAAAGGGTATATTAGGTTTGTGCAAAGTATGTAACATACAGAAGGAAGCATCTCCGACCCCATAACGTATATATATTCTTGATCAGCATGACGAGAGAAATCGATCTAGACATGTCCGTCCGTCTGTCCGTCCGTCTGTCCGTCCGTCTGTCCGTCCGTCTGTCCGTCCGTCTGTCCGTCCGTCTGTCCGTCCGTCTGTCCGTCCGTCTGGATGAACGCGAGGATCTCAGAAACTATAAAAGCTAGAATAACCAAAGTTGGCATCCAGATTCTCCTAGGTCCGAGTAAGGACGAGTTTATGTTTTTTTTTTTTAATTTTCCCCCCCTTCCCCCGCTACAGAATTTCGTCAATAGCGTCCACATTTCAAATGCTACCTAAACCAAATTTTACACACATAATAAATATATAATTGTCTACTGTTGTATGAAATTTTATTCAATTCGGTCAATTCTAAGAAAAGTTATTAGCGAAACAAATTCTCGCCAGTACAACCTCCCCAAACTGCAGCAAAAAGTTCACTCTTCTTCTTCCTCTTTTTGCTGCTGCTACGTGCGCATATAACTCAGTGACGGAAGTTTACCTGGGTACAGGGTATTACACTGTCGGGCTTGCTCGACTGTAGCGTTCTCTCTTGTTTTTTTGATATAATTGAAACGATCGTTTACTCTATAAATCCAAATATAGAGGGGTCGACTCTTAAAAGCCTACAATATTCATTTTTGATACCAGATAGTGCATTTTTTTGTTTTTTTATAATTAATAAGAATTCTGAAATCCAAGAACTTTGCTTATTTAGACATACACATACAAGTATGTATGTATTTTTCAAATAATTACATTTTCGATTCTCTTTTTACAGCGCCTGCGGTCGTTGTGCCGCTGGCAATTCCAGCGATTGCAATGCTCCACAATGCATTGTTGGCGATGGATTCGAAAGAGGCGGCGTAATGAGCATAAATCGGCAATTACCAGGACCTGCTCTGCATGTGTGCCAGAACGATCTTCTGGTCATTGATGTGGTCAATAGGGCCGGTGGCACGACCACAACCCTGCACTGGCACGGCATGAGTATGCGTCAGACCCCATATATGGATGGCGTCCCGTATGTCACCCAATGTCCGATTGCCTTTTCCAATACCTTTCGGTATAGTTTTGTAGCCACCGATTCTGGCACACATTTTTATCATGCCCATGCTGGTCATCACAAGGAGAACGGACAGTACGGCGCCCTCGTTGTGCGGCAACCAACATCACCGCAGGTCAGTAGCTACGATTACGATTTGATGGAGCATCTGCTGGTCATTTCAAGCTGGATGCATGTGCCGGCAGAGAGTCTGATGCCTGGTACCCCCAACACGATCCTAGCGCCGGATGCGGTGCTCATCAATGGGCGTGGAAGCTATATTGAACCGAGCTCTAGGGTGCGACAGGCGCGCATTCCTCCGCAAGTATATTTCCTGCAGGCCGGAAAGCGCTATCGCTTTCGGGTCATACATGCTGGCAGTCATGCCTGTCCCTTCAAAGTGCAGGCACAGCGGCATCTCCTGCGTATCATAGCCAGCGATGGATTCAATGTGGAGCCACGAACTTTTGACGCACTAATTATCAATTCTGGCGAGCGCTACGACTTCGTGCTGTTGGCCAACAACACCAGAGGCGATTACTGGCTTCGCGTGTCGGGTCTGGGTGCCTGCAGCCGTCTGCCCACTGAGTCCTTGGCACTTCTACGCTATCGTAGGGCAGACGCATCCCTAGCGCAGGATGCAGCGCGCCCCTTGCCCACACAGCCCAACTTTAATATCAACTACCCTGAGAATAATGTGCTCAATAATCCCATGACGGGCTGCCGTCCCGGTGATCAGTGCGTCAATGAGCTGATCTCGTTGGAACGTGATGAGCAACTGCAGTGTGGGGTTGTCCAGAACACCATTTATCTCTCCTTCAATAACTATGTGGTCTCCAATGCGGAAATATTTCGGAGCGGCTACTACAAACACTTTCTGAGTAAGTAATTAAGTTGCTCAAGCACATCTATATGGGCTTTGAAATATCCTCGGCGTTTGGCTCAGGGACGTCTTTTAAAGCAGCTGAATAATGCTTTATATCAAAAATTAAAAATTCCAAATAATACTAATTATTTTTGAAACCACTTGTATATATATAAAATAATACTTTGCATTACACTTGTATAACTAAAAAGGAATAGAGCAGAATATAAGGAGGCAGATGATTTCATAGTTTTCAAATATATCGCTTATAGATCGTAAATTGCTTAGAAGTTTAATTAAATAAAGTACTGAAACTTTTCGCACATATTAAATAGCTCGGGGGTACTTTCTTTTAACAACCTTAACCCATTAATGCCACCAGATCTGAATGCAAACACAACCGTTGTGGGCGCCATCAACAATCTGAGTCTGACGTTTCCGCCATACCCGCCGCTGACGCAACCGGAGCTGATTGACGACGCACATTACTGTGACGCAAGGCGACGACCTGCAACCTGTGCCAACCAGCGGCAGTGCATGTGTGTGCATCGTTTGCAGGTGCCACTTGGCGGCACTGTCCAGCTAGTCATTGTGGACGAGAGCGAGAGTGAGTAAACAATGGAGGGCGGACAACGGACAATGGACAAAGGACGTCGGACTGACGGGGAGACTGTCGGACAAACAGCCTTGCCGCAAATTCCAATTACATGTTGCTACATGGGGCGCCCTCGACAACTTTTCCACTTCACAGGCGTTGGCCCCATACATCATCCGTTCCATTTGCACGGCCACCGATTCACCGTTCATGCCCTCGGGCAGCATCCGCAAGGCACGCCCATGACGGTGGCTTTGGCCCAATCGATGGCACATCGTGGTCAATTGTTGCCCGCTGCTGCAGCTGCCTCTTCCTCATCCTGCAAAGCGAAACCGCCGTTTAAGGACACGGTATCGATACCGAGTCGTGGTTATGCGGTTGTGCGGTTTAGGGCAGATAATCCGGGTGGGTTGTAGCTGCCAAGCTTCGAGTATAAATACATTTTAATGACCTTCCCAACGCCCGTTCTCATGTAAATAAACTTATTGTGATATTGCAGGTTTCTGGCTCCTGCACTGCCACTACGAGTGGCATCTGGCCGTTGGCATGGGCCTCATTTTGCAAGTTGGCCAACTGGGGCAGATGGTGCGACCGCCGGCCAACTTTCCGCGCTGCTACAATTATATGCCGCCCATCGAGTGGCCACACAAATGAGCTGTAAGCTACTTAGTTACTACTGTACTCGAACTATAAATTGTAAATTAACATAAAGTTAACAGTAAAGATGTGCAGGTCATGGATTATATATATGTGTAGTATGTATCTTTATAATCTGAGTGCTGGCAGCGAATTTTAGAAAGGTAGAAAGAACATACAGCTATCTTTCTCAGCTTGATGATTTCTTACTCCAAAGCAGAAAAGGTATGCAATTGCGATTTTCTGGTTCGCTAGTGCCTGTGTGCAATAAAATGATCAACTATCAGTGCTAATGAATAGACGAATTGTTTTATCATGATCTCTCAGCATCTGATTATTTAATTTACCGCTGCAACGCGCTTTGGGTATAACTGGCCTTTGTATTCAATCAAGCAGACCGCTTAAGAACCATTGAAAATTGTTGAAATTGTTGAGACTGGCAATGGCTGAATTTTCGTCGCTTGTTTATTATACCCTGTACCCAAAGGGTAAAAGGGTATATTAGTTTTGTGCGAGTGTACATGGCACACACGGAAGGAGGCGTGGTAGACCTCACAAAGTATATATATTCTTAATCAGGATGACAAGCCGAGTTGATATAGCCATGTCCGTCTCTCCGTCTGTCTGTCCATCTGTCTGTCCGTCTGTCTGCCTGTCTGTCTGTATGAACGCAAGTATCTCAGAAAGTATAAGAGCTAGAATAACAAAACTTGGTATCCAGATTCTTCAGAGCCCGAGAAAGGACGAGTTTCTTCATTTTTCCCGATGCACCCCCCCCCACTCCCCCCTATTCGGGATTTTCTATAACTCCCGTAATTCTTGGAAAGTACAATTTGGTAGTCACATCCAGTTAGTGATTATATATCTGTATACCAAGTTTAATTATGATAGGTTTCTTAGAAAGAAAGTTATAGCCACATAACCAAGTCCAACCTCTGTCCGCAGCTGTATTTGTTGGTGCTTTGACATAATTATGTAATGTGTACTGCACAGATTCATATGTACAAGTACACAAACACGCATAGACACGATTCTGATTTAAATGTAAATGTATGTATGGAATATTTTATATTTATTAATTTAATTAATTAATTACATTTAAAAAAAAAAAATTTTTTTGTGGGGTAGTACAGGGTATTTAAGAGTTGAGCCTGCTCGACTTTAGCATTCCTTTCTTGTTTTATTTTTTCCCTTTTGAAGGCAGACCCAGACCCACAACTATTTTGTTCTTTTATTGCTTTGCTCTGCCGCGTGAATTTGTTACGATTGCGTTTTCGTTGAATAAAGCATAACATACTCGTTGGTTGAATCGGTCCTCTCAGCCACAATTGGAACTGGGACCACCAGGCAGGCAGCTTGCCTCTCTTGCTTCCTGTCCAGAGCCGACGCAGAGCACAGCGTACAAAAACTTAATGTAATTGAATTCATTTATGGTTTTGTTTGTTTTTGGGCTTTTTTACTTACGCGGCATAGTCGCGCAAACTCGTTGAGAATGTGTCTGTTGGGCTGTTAATAAATATTTCATTTATTTTAAGCCCGCTCTCAGCCAACTACAAATGCTCGTTACTGTGGCCTTTGTTTTTTGGCTTCGTGCTTTAATTAAAAATGTGTACGGCCAGCAAAAGGCACATGCATGTATTATTCTTGTTAGATGTAAATACATGTAAGCCCCAAGCACTTTAGCTAAATGCTAAACTAGCGGCTGAGCGACCTTCGAAGTTTCTGAATACAGTCATATTTCGCTGCATAGGATGTTCAGGACATGCCTTTAACATGGTTTATAGAAATCCTTGTTTTCATGATTCAAACCAAATTTTTGGATTGTAATGAACGATTTTCCTACAAGGACTTACACATATGGGTCGCATGTTCATCTTAGCCAATACTTACTGTCCAAATATGTAAGAATGTTTCTCAAGGATACTTTGGGCATGCAAAAAAGGATATTGGGTTATTAGGAAATATGCTTTTATACATGCAAGATTTATGCCCATTTGCCGAAGCAGGAGAGCCAAGGCTTTGAACTGGTACATGCGTACATGTGTGGAAAAGGACAGACGCGTGCCCCTAAAAGCATGCAGCATATTTCATATTAATCGCTGCCGGCTACAAGGCAGCCCCAACAATGCCTACAACACACCTTCCCTGGCTTTTACCTGCCACTTTCATCCATTTTGGCAAGACATACAGCGACACACACGCACCCACATAATACTCGAATTTTATCCCTTTCCGGGCTCAAAGAAAACTCGGTTCTTAGCTCTTTGGTTCGCTCATGTGGCTAATAAAATAATTGAAATTCTCTAAGCATGAAAAAGCAAAACATGCCAAGCTCTCTCATACATACAAATTATTTCGATGCACGAACCCAAAGTCCCCCACACCCAGAATTTCGCCCAGCAGCTAAATCGCAATTACCCAAATTCAAATTTTTGCTGCCATTTTCAGTGAAGACCGAAATGCGATTTAGCTGAGAGATAGCTAGCGAGTCTAAAAAGCGTACCGTCCTTCTCCTCTCTGATGCTCTCTCTTTCTCCACATCAGCTTTCTGGCTGCACTGACTACTTTCGTAGCTTAATGCTTCTGCGGCTGCTGCTGGTACTACTATTGCTGTCAAGTTTCTTTGATTTTCAATTTCAATAATAAAATTGTTTGCAATTTTATGCCAAGTTGAGCAGCATCGCCGAGTGAAGCTCCCTCGCTCTGTGCGGGGCCATCCAACGACTCCTAGTGCTGTCAATATTTATTGAAATACGGACACGAATGCATAAAATATGCTCTACTCGCAAGTATATGTCATATACATACGCACTCGGTGACATGTGTGTGTGTGTGTGTGTGTGTTTGTGTCTGTTGTCAAAATTTTATTTTGCATGCGTATATGAAAATAGTGAAATTTCATGTTTATGGTATACCCTAAAGGTTGGGTATAGCCCGGAAAGTTTTTGTTTTAATAATGGTTTTAGAAGTGCAATACTTAACATTTTACTACTTCCTCGCAATGCAAGCCATTTTAAAGTCGACTAGGGACTTGTGTTGAGTCTAAAAGGGGTTCATTTTATACTGATTTAATGTGCCTTTTTAATGACTTGGAAGTGGTTCATAAAAAATAGCTGTTAAAAAAAAAATTGAGATGTGGAAATGGCCTAATGGAACCATTCCTTCTCTAGGTCCACTTTGGATTTCAGCTCAGCTTACATCGAATATATCGCCATACACACGTCGAAAACAACTGGAGAAGCTAAAGAGTGATTATATTTTGCACAAACCTAATATACCCTTTTTACCCTACGGGTACAGGGTATACTCATTAAAATTATAATATCCTAGCTAAATTTTACTCTTTCTTAGTAACTGTATAAGTGTTGAGTGTGTGTGTTATAAAATGCATAATTTTTAAAATTTTTGTAAAATACCCGTGCGATGCCCCGCTAGTAATTTATATAAGAAAGCGAAATTTCAACCTTTCGCCTTTACGTATAGTTTTCATAATATTTACATTTTATTAATTTCTTCTCCCAATTTTCTAAGCGAAACTCCCAAAACATTGTACAAATAATTATTTACACACTCGTACATATTTAGTTTAATGTAAAATATATACATACACCGAACTCACTAACTAACAGCCATATGTTTTCGCGCGGATCTTTACCACACGATCTGGATATACTAAACCCATCGCTTTCCGTTAATTTATATAGAAGTCCGCAATGTTCGTGAAGTTTAATACGAGAACGTACTTGTATGTTGGTTGGCACAAAGTAATGTTTATTCTATGAAAGTAGATTCAAATAGAAAATATGATAAGTTGAAATATGTACATAGTAACATAATCATTTTAGCAATTTAACTGACTTTTTCGAGTGGACAGCCCATTGGAATGTTACCGGTCTTACTTATTTCGTCAGTGATACTGCGGATCAGGTAGTGATCGCGAAATGAAGGCCTGCACAGTCGTCGAAAAGTATGTCCATATACTTGTAATTTATCACCGATTTGGCACACACAATTTTGAGTTTGTTTGATTTCAAAACGCATGTAATGGAGGCACAGTAATAAATTCATCTAAATAAATGCAATTCGTATGGTACTAATGAACCGATTGAAATGGGGCGGCACTAATGGGATTTTGAAAGCTCTATTTTCAAAAATTACTTGTACTTTAAAAAAAATACTGGTTTGTCTGGATACAAAAATTGTCTGTTTAAGTTAATGACCAGTACCGGAATCAATAAAATAGCTTCTTAGATCAATCCTACAGTCTTATTCAAAATCTCAAATTGCTCTTTCATTTCGTACATATTTGTTTGGAACACAATTGTTGTTTTTTTTTTTTTTGCGAACCCAATTTTATGTGGATTTGCAAAGGAGAAGCAATTTTTATTAAAAACAACACGGTTTCTAATATTAAGTTTGGTTTTTGTAGCTGTTTTGGAACTGGTGCATCAGATAACGAGCTTCTCCGACCTAGGATAATCTGGATACCAAGTTTGGTTATTCTAGCTCTTATACTTTCTAAAACCCTGCGTTCATACAGACGGACGGACACACAAAGAAAACGATTGTCATACTGATGAAGAATACTATATACCAGTGGGAGAGAGTATTGTTTCGTTTCTTTTTTTAAGAGTTGAGATCGTCGACTTTAGCATTCCTTTCTTATTTTTGTTAAACATCGTTTTCGAATCAAGAAGTTTCACTTCAATTTTTATAATTTTAAAGGGTGTACAGGGTATTTCAGAGTTGATACCGCCCAACTCCAGCATTCCATTTTTTGTTTTTTCTGTAAAGCAACATTAATTTTAACGTAATTACTATAATTTCGATTTTAAATTTTCATAAGTCATTCAACCTTTAATAAAAGAAGAACTTATTAACTATATTTAAACGCTCAAAGTTTTTTATCATTGGCTTATAAAGTTTGCTCCGAAATTTAGCCAACAATACAAAAATATAAACATAATTAATTCATGGTATAATTCGACTGGTTATCTTGCCGACCTTCACCGAACGACCAAATGCCAAAAAACGCATCGTTTTACGTCGATTTGTGACAAGGTCTATAGTTATCGTCAAGTTCATTTCGGGAAAGTATGGCGGTATTGAATGTTCTTTGACCTTGAAGCCGTGTACATAGTAATGTTTGTTCTGTAAAAGAAGATAAAAACCAATACTAGAATTTGAAATATTAATAACCCTTACTTTTTTGTATGGACAGTCGTTCAGAATATTCCCTGATTTTTTTATTTCTTCACTGATAACGCGCGTTATAATGTGATCTTCCAGTGCATCTTGACCTGTACGGGTACATATGTCGAAACGTTTGTTTATGTAGTTCACCGTTGATTTCCCGATCATTACGTTGAAAGAGAAAGACACTGAGGTATTATTTAGTTCACGCACTGCAATAAAATCCATATCGATCACCGTCTCGTTAAGATCATTGGATTTCAAAACGCATGCCAGATTGGTTAGGAATGTAGGCATATAGTTTTCACACTCGATTTTGTTGGGAATAAAATTGAGCTGGGGAAAATCGATATTGGGAGTATTTAGCATTTGCTTAATGTATGTTCCTTGAATATCCTTTACTTTACTCTCAGCGATCCAATGTGCAGGCAGTAGGAGGAGTAGCAGAAGCAAAAGCTTGTATAGACCCACCATTATGAAGTTTCTGAGCTCCAGTAATGTTTTCATCTAAATAAATATATATTTTGTGTGTTAGTAATAAATCGTTTGAAATGGACCGGGACTAATGCAATTTTAATGGAACTATTTTCAAAAATAATCTGTACTTTAAAAAGAATTACTGGTCTGCCTGGATACAATAATCTGCTGTTTAGGTTTAATGGCTGCCAAAACAAGCTTTCCAGATCAGTTATACAATTTTATTCAAAATCTCACATTTCTCTTTGATTTCGTTTATATTTGATACATAATTATTGTTATACGCTGTACCCGTAGGTACTTATTATACAAAATGACTCGAAACTATTGTTCACAGCGTAATCAGTTGTGCAAATGGCGAATAATTCCTTATAGGTCTACAAGGCACTGAAAAATTAAGTCGATCTAAGAGGACTGAGGAGTCAACCTCTCCACTAGCTTGTGCACTATGGGTATTTTTTCACTTTTTTTTGGCAAAAACTCAATTTTTTATTTTATATTTCAAATATGAACTGTTTTATAATCTTTATATACCCAGAGGAGACAAAAAAAAAAAAAACTTCAACCGTTGAGGTATGTTGGCACGCATATGGTTTTCGCAAAATTGGCGGGAAATATTTGCTAATTTGTTATAATAAAAAACGTTAGTCGAGGTATTTAAAGTTACAGTTCAATAACACTTGTGTGTTTTTGCCCAATTCTTATGTGTAATTTAGATTAGGCCTAACCAGTATAACCGTGTTTCGTGAAATAGAACTTATACATGGCACAGCGTTGCAAAAGGTTTTAAATGGAGAGCAATTAACCAGATTATTGAGTAACTAAAACGTCTTGCCCCAATTTCCCCCGTTTCGAAAAAAACGCATTTACTGCAGCAAAACTCGTGCTTGCGACGTAGAAATTGTTGACCTTGGAGCAGCAACAAAGACTCTGAAAACACATTTAAGCAGTGTGCAAGTATATTGCAGAAAAGTATGGTAAAAGTCGTATATGAATATAATACTATGTTGATATCGGAAATAGTAAAAGCTTTCGCGAATTATATTAAAAAGCACGTGCCAAGTTGTAATGAAACTCTATATAAATTTAAAAAAAAACGCACACAATTTTAATTGTATTGTATATAAATTGTGTGTGAAAAGTTTGGTTTATGTAGCTTTTGAAATGTGAACAGTATTGACGAAATTCTGCAGGCGACGAAAATGTAGAGGGTCTTTGTAAGACAGAATTAGTTTCATTTCATCATATGAGAGTGCGACAAGGTAGAGGGGAGGTCATTAATAAATAATGTAAAAAGTAAAGGGCCAAAAAAGTCATCTTGGCCTTGAGGCACACCTAATGACGCAAAAGTGCGCTGTTAAATGCAAGATTCGTTGGGTCCTGTTTTTTAAATATGACGAAATCCTACACAAACAAGTGAAAAAGGTAGATTGGGTGTCCCGATTTTGAAATACTCTGTACATATGTGTAGAATAATTCTGCGTGGCTATGCGTGTTTGTTTGTGTCTGTGTATGTCTCGTGTGCCTGCGTTAACTGGATGTATTTACCGAATATCAACGAAAAATTCCAAGAAATATGGGAGTCACCAAAATACACACTCTCTGCGTATTCACATATGGCATCTTGGACTAAAACTTTGGTTTACCTAAGTCTCTTACCTAGTCTCCAAGATATAGGTGATTACACGAGTGGGGTTTCCGAAAATCCCCCATTGTTATGAAGACCCCACCCTTCTGGGGGGGATTAAAACAAAAATAAGCCAAACTCGTATAGCGTACACACATGAGGCATCTTTATGCAACATTTTGGTGTCTATAGTTCTTATAGTCTCTGAGATCCAGGTGCTTATACGGACAGACAGGCATACAAGTTGTAATGGTCGCCTGCATTAAAATTAAATTAATGTTACTTTTATCGCAGCTCGGTGCTACAAAATTAGCACTTGCGATAAAAGGGGCTAATATTTGTCCCAAAGCTTCAGGCCCCTATCAGCTGTATTACTCTGAAAGCTTTAGTTAGTACAACTCTGGGTTTTGGTTGGAATGTAAAGCGCATCTAACTTTACGCACTTCAGTAGTTCCCTGGAATTAGGTGTTATAAAAGGCCTGATCTTGCTAAAACCGATCTCTTTTGTTCATTAACTTTTGGATGGCCAAGTTCTACAAAGTAGCCACGTCCGTCAGCTACGCCTAACACGTGTTTTGGGTGTTATTCACTGGCCCAAAAGGAAAACGGCTTGACACTCTCGAACCCAAAGATTTTGTCCACGTTAACCGGGACCTTCATCGAGTGTAAAACCGTGCGGCTGGAGACGATTTGAAGACCCCCCCAATCTTTATGGCATTATCCGCCTGTGGGCAACTGCCTATTAAGGGCGCTGCCAAGTAATCGGTGCGCATCCGTCACGAGATTTGCGACTAACCCCTTGTCGCTGCTGTATTGGGTGCAGCCGAATCAAATAACTTCGACATAAGGGTTATTTCCCGGCGGAATTCAAACCGCAGTCGTTGTTTACACTTGGACGAAACATTTGGTTCCAACCGGCAAAGTGAATTGCCGTATGCTACAAGTCCGTCTTCCAAAAAGGAGCTTGCGAACATGCGGGATATATCTTTTTGCTCTGGGTGTCGAAACGTCATTAGCCCAACCTGACCACCGCCGACTTCCCTCTGCCGTAGAAACCATTGCCGCCACCACCACCTCAGCGTTAACTACATAAAATGTGCTACTGCTCACAAAAAGAGCCTATATAGTGTCTAAGTTTGAAAATCACAGTTTCAAAATTGAAGAGAGTGTGTGTACAGTGCCTCGAAAGGGAAATGCCTTAAAACCCAATATAGTGCATATACTTATATGTACCAATAGGTACAGTTTTTTTTTAGCAGACATGTGCATTTAATTTTTTTTGCTATTGTTTTTTTTTCGTGCCCAAGATCAGTGCATAAAAGCTTAAACCGAAATAAACTCTCGAAAAGGCATGTGTACAAATATATATCATAATAGCAAAAGAAAATGAACCCGAAAAAAAATATGCCTCGAGATAAATAAGACAAATTTAAATAAGCCCAAAATTAACCCATCCATATAATAACACACCATATAAATATGCATTTGCATATAAATGTATGTGCATTGAATTAATCTGTACATAAAACAACGACTACACCTCGCTGGAGGGCCCTTCATCGCTGGAGTCTGTACGTAAGTCTGTATTTATCATTGCTATTGCTTTTGTTTCTTATCTCGTTTGTAAGCCGAAGTTAAATTGATATAATGTGATACATGCATACATATCAATTTTAGTACAGAGCTTTTGCTCGACAGTTATCGCATGTCAATTTACTTTCGTCTTATACTAACTTTTTCTCTTATACTAATATGCCTTTGAGAGAACATATGACAATAACTTAAAATGCGGAGGTCAATGAACCGGCAAAGAATGCGCTGATCTGCAGCACTGACCTACCTCACTATCACTCATGTGAGCTTTTAGTTTAGTTTTGTTTTTTTTCATTTAATTGCCTTTAACTAAACTGCTGCTGATTCGGGTAGCTAAATTTTGAATCGACGTTACTTTAACACATAAAGAATAAAATGAAAATAAATAACATTAGGCGTATATGCACACACACTTTCTGATTTCACAATAAATTTTTTCCAATTTTTTTTTAGACTATAAAATATTCAGCCTATGTTCTTTGAATTATATATATAAATAACTACTTGGCTTAAATTTGTATTTTTTTTACTCATACTAAATAAGTTTCTTCAATGAATTATACCTATTTTGTTTGCATTGTCATAAGAATTTATCCTGCTAATAGATTTATAATTTGTTTGCTCGTCAATGTAAATCTTTATAATTAATCATGCGTATTATTAAATTTTGTTTAAAATGAATTAGTAAAGTTTTATTTTCTGGTGACATGGTGACGTAAAACTAGCTAGAACATTTACTATAGGGGAACTCCATAAACAATACTCGCATTGGAGCTCCATGGTTGGGTGGGTATAGAGGAGAGATCTCGCAAAATAGCTAGACATATTTTCTGATGCAAGAAGCTATCACTTGTACCGTCAGTTTCCCTCTCCCATTTAATTGGCCTTTGATTTGTTTTAGTTGTTTTGTTGGAAGTAGGCCTTCCAAAATTTAGTTTCAGCAGGGACTCTATAATAATTTAATTTATGTACTTAGAGTCTTCAGGACACAGCAAACCCACCCCACCCCGAAAGAGCTAGGGTATCAAAGGGTCCCGACCTCCGCTGTGACACCGTCGGCTCACGCTATCTGGTTTTTGTTGTTTTTACATCTAGCCAGGATACTTCAATGAGTAGTTTATTACATAAATTTTTGGCGCCCAACGTGGGGCAAAAACAAGATAGCGTTTTACAGCAATGATTAGTTTATTACAAAGTATACTTGTATTGTCATGCTGATCAAGAAGATATGCACTTGGTGTGGTGTGCAACGCCTCCTTCTGCCTGCTACATTTTTCACCTCCCGCAAACCTTATATACGTTTCATGTACATTTCATGTACAAAGTATGAAAAGTGCTTCCCATCAATGTTATTATTATTATTAGAAATTCGTTTTTAATAAGCAGGAGCAAAAATCCTATATTCATATTGGTACTTAATATATGCCTTTCAGAGCCGACTCGAGATACTCGACTGATAGGTATAGGCAAAAGTGTATTCAGATTATCCAATCCATCTGATATGTGTCAGAATAATTGTATTTTTTTATGGCCCACAGAAAAAGTTTGGACATTTTTATATCGTTCCTCGGTGTTCTATGTGTGTGTGTGCACATCTACATGTGCAGCCATGTATGTGTGCGTTCATTAACCACAAATGATTGTGGCAAGGCAATTGAATAAATTTTTGGTTATTTGCTGAAACGAGTTCGTGCAAAGCCAACGCCAAATCAGAAGCTGCTGCAGCAGGGCTGTCGGTGGCACCAGTAGTAGCCACCATGACCACCACGGTCGATGG